GGAGTACTTTGGGTCTTAACTATAGATTATAAGGTATGTCTCAAGTATTTGTTGCTAATAATAGTTATACATATTTTTAATGACTCATTTTCTTCAATAAACCAGAGTAGATTCAAGTTTATACCTGCCATGATATTACTGTCCACACTTGCATGCTGATGTTTCCCAGAATAGGAGAGGAAGAGATGGAACTACAGCTCGCATGACAGAAAACTGCACATTGAAGTACCCTACCCTATAAATATCTTGTACTTGAATGGGAAAAAATATTGAGAATCATTGATTTACAGTGAAAAACCTTGTTTATTGCTGGATGACACAATAAAGACTATGTATTTCAACTACTATCTCTTGCTTTATCTCTACTATCGCTTGCTTTAGTATACCTAATGTACTTTAGGTATATATGTGCTCTGTGCATTTAAATTCCATATTCTTTTAAGAATTAGAACATTATATAGGAATAAGGATATCCACGAAGTACTGTTTCCTAAAAAATAACCATAGACATCAGGAGGTGGAAAATACACAATTAATATACAACTAAGAATATCACAAAATTTGAAAATTAAGTTTTAAGCAGATTAAGTAAATGTGGCTCAGAGGGGAACACTAAATGAAAATTTGTTAAAATAACATTCAGCTTTTCTGTATCACCTCTAAGCAAATATTTGTAGGGGTTGTTTTGATTATGGTTTTTGGTTTTTTGAGACTGGGTCTCGCTTTGTAGTTCAGGCTGGCCTTGAACTCGCTATGTAGTCCAGGCTGGCCTCGAACTTGGAGTAATCCTCTTGCCTCAGCCTCCAGAGTTCTGGGATTACAGGCATGAGCTATATTTGTGTTTTAAACGAACAGAATTTAGGGAAACTAGCCAATAACAGATAATCTAAGATAAAAGAAAATAAGTCAGAAATCTAGACAAACTGGACATATTCCAGGGTTACAATCCATTTAAGGTAAATTTCTGATAATCCCTACTGAGATATAGTAATCTCAGAACTATAAAAAATAATCTTGAGATATTGATAATTATTCTATACAATTGTAAATGCCATTCAATTTAAGTAAACTTCATGTATATTATTTTAATTTCCTATGTCTGTAACTGAAGGAATTTTAGGAGAGTAGCATAATTGTAAGAACTCCAGGAAAGATAAAACTAAGAACTGAAATAAAGAAGTTGAGCATTTCCTAAATTCAAGCATTTTGCCTATATTGTCTCATTTCTCCTACATAATTACCTCATGAGACAATTTTATCATCACCATTTGATAGATGAGGAAACTATGATTTAAAAAAATTAAGAAATTCGCCTAAGATCACACAGAAGAGTAACTGGGTCTGAAGCCCAGATTATGTGACTCCAAAATAAATGGCTCTTTTCACTACATTTTTCTAACTGGCAAGAAACACCTATATTAGAAGTTCCAGTCTTTTAATTAACACTTACTAAACAAAGAGACATTCTCAAACTTCGAATGAATAGTGATGATGTAGACTGAAAACTAGTCATACTTTGATAATTACATAGGAATATTTAAGACATTCTAAGTCAAGCATGATTTTTCTTCAAAGCTTAATAGGTAACATCACGAAAATGGTAAAATCTTTATATTTAGGTTAAAAGATCCTAAACAAACTTCATCTCACCTAGATACTTTAAACTTCAAAGACAAACTTTGGAAGGCTCCAAGGCTCCATACTCCATACTTTGTCAGTCATACAACAGTTTCATCTGGTAAACTAGGATTATATCTATACTTCATGGAATAAGAAAAAAGTGACTAGTAACTGTTTGAGTCTTTTCCTTTGTTCTTACTTTAATCTCTCCTCTATTCTCTTGTTTTTCTCCAGAACTGGGAGAATTGTTCTAATGAATCTAATCTTAGATGCAAATGTACATACTCTGAAAGGAAGTCCATAAAATTGCAATGATTTATAAAGTATCACAGAACAAATGGAAGTTTCAGTTATTTTCCAAAATATTAACTATAGAAGTACCGGTGATCCCTATGAGGAGTGTTAGCATTATGTATGCCTAAAATGTATGAAAAAATGTTTTGCTATTAAAAAAATAATAAATAAATAAAGAGAAATACGGGGGACTCCTCTATAGTTTTCTCAATTAATTTTAAGGCATTTGAATTTGTATAATCAAATATAAATGTGGGGAAAAAGAGTAAGAAAGAGGAGGGGAGTAGGAAAATCTAGAGCTCTGACTAAATTTTTAAAATCTAAACGTCTCATTGTTTCCTAATTAAATGAATCTACCACTAGGAGTTCCAAAACTATGATGTTTGTTCCCTTTAGTCTTACAGTGGTATGATACGTTAACCATAAATAAACATGCCAGGGCCGGGGATTTAGCTCAGTGGCACCGCACCTGCCTCCAAGTGCAAGGTCCTGAGTTCGATCCCCGGGACCAAAAAATAAAAATAAAAATAAAAAATAAACATGCCAAAGATAAATGAAAAATAATAAGGCAATTCAGATCTGTGAATTGAGATACCTCTTAATTTCAATATTTTTATAAATGAGGTAGGGATGAACAGATTTATTGAAACTGACAAGATGATTCAAATGCTTAGAGTGCAGCAATTTCCTAAGTATGGAAAAATTACAAATATGATATACACATATGTGAATTTATAACCATTTCCACTCTATAATTCCTTTATTAAAAGTACTCTCTTACCAACACCATGAAACAACATCCAAGACAGTTCTGAGACTATCAAAATACTGAGTCTAGGTACTTCAGTCTCCATGAAGTACATAGTTCTACTAAAAAATAGTTCATATTTAAAAACAAAAATAGCTCACATTTCTAAGGTTTTCTACTACAAAAATACATTCTTATTACAAAACACGTAAGATTGTTCAATTTACTGTTATATTATCAAAACACTGCATAAATGATAATCCCTTGGCCTTTCTTCTAAAACACGCTCATTTATAAATCAAGTAAAAATACTAATCTATTACCACAGAGGTCCAATTTTAAAACAAAACTTTTATTTGTATAAATTCATTAGATCTCCTTTCTTCTGACTGCCCAAATGTAATTTACTTATCTGGGCCTTGGTTACAAAGATAATTTACTGCTCATTCCTAACATTACCTTGAATAATCTCATATCATAAAATGACCATAGTTTGTACAGGCACTTTTCCCATTTACAAACAGAAGTAAATACCCTACAATATTTTGGTATTATATATATTTATGCTGGTTTTTCAAGCTTGATATTTGGGTCCCTTAATATTTACTATGTAACAGCCATATATGTAAAAACTGTTATAAGTGATAGGTGGAACTCAATTTTTTTTGCATAGTTTGAATATTTTGTTAAAATACTGGAGGAAGAAATGTATACAGACCTAAATTATAGCTACATAATAGTTAAAGATGAAATAAAAGCGATTTGTGTACCAGCAGAGGAATTACTCTTCCTCCGGACTAATGGCATCTACCTTTGAAGTAATGCCTAAGCTGCATTAACTGAGCACTAACTAATCTTAGATAGTGTGTATTTAATGCTGTCAACCATGAGTGCAGAAGAGAAACAGGTCTTCAGCAAAGGTCTTTTATGGAAGAAAACAGAGGAAAGGTTTCCCTTGTCTCAAGAGCACTAGCAGAAAAGTTCAGAAAGATAAATGATACACTCTACCTTTCTATACACTGACAAACTCATGGCTCTTAAAAAAAGTCCTTCTAAAGCCCACACAGGTATATCAGGACTGCATCACTGCACGATAATTATATTTTGCAATTTTTTCAATCTTGTTTTCATTCCACTTTTGGGTTGAAAACTATTTTCTGGTCTTTAATCACTGACATAGTTCTGGTCTATCCTCATTGATATTACCGTTACACTTTCATATACTGGAACCTCATTTCAGAAATTTCTTTAGATTAAAATATCTGGAGAAAAGGAAAACAGTAGTGCACCTTTAGAATGGTTTATGTCAACGTGATGGTGAGATCAGTATGAATATATGCAGTTGGGTCTGAATAAAAAAGAACAAATCTTCATTGTTTTAAACCATAAGCTGAACGAAAGTGAAAGGCTACCCAACCTTAACAAATTAATTTTTAGATTACAACCTACTGAACAGCAAAATCACAAATGTACAAAGTACAAATCAACCACCTTAAACTCCAATTTTTGCAAAAAGTGTCCTGGCCCTACAACACCTTCACAATGGGTGTATTTCAGAAAAGTTGATCCTAATAAAAACTCTAAAGCAGAAAGTTGACCAGAGGTGCCTCCAAACACCTCGCCATCCCTAAATGCCCCAAGGGATAGAAACTGCGGGCCGGCACTAGCTTCATCACACTAAGGAGTCCATCTCTTGGGGAGACCCCGGAGAACATTACCCCAACAACCCGGGAGAAAGGCATCAAAGCGCAGGGAATTGGGGGGAATTGGGGAGGATCTAGAGGACCTCAGGGAACGAAAGGGCCCCAGAAGTGGGAAAGGGACTGGGGTAACCCTTTGAGTTGCGTGCGGGGGGTTGGGGGGGGCGGCACCAGGAGAGGAGAGGGCGGAGAACAGGGTGCGGGCGTGACGGGCGGTGGCCGAGGACCCTGCCCCGCCCCGCAGCCCCAGCCTCCGACCCGCGACGGGGCGGGGCCCGCGCCCGCCACTGCCTGCTCGCGCCGGCACTGGCCCCTCAGCCTCCCGGTCCGTACTGGTGGGAGGGGCGGGCCTCGTGGGGCCGGGTGTGCAGCCTATCCCCAGCCCGGACCAGGAATGTTCTGCCGCGGGCAGAAGGGTGGGCGAGAGACACTGCAGCTTGGGGCGGGGATGAGGGGTGGCTGAGGGCAGAGGAAGAGCCCTGCGCACAGCCCCCGCCGCCAGGGCCGAACCCCGGCACCCCCAGACGGGCTGGAATTGTTGCCCCCACTCCAGGCTCGCCTTCCGTCCTCTTCCCCCCCCTCCCCTGGCGTTGCCCCGGGCGACAGAGCCTACCGCCGGCGGCGCCAAACGTACCTACCTAGAACCTGACAAGCAGGAGCCCCTCAGACACTGGAGCCAGTCGCCACCCCGCGTCACGGAGACCGTCACGGCCAATCGGCGCCGCTGTCAGGAAGCTCTGCGGCCAATCCCGCTACACTCCGGTCTCGGGGCACCCTCGAAGCCTCCGCCAATAGGCAGGGGTGGGAGGCGGGCGCTGCTGCCGGGCCCCAGCCCCCTCCTCTACCACCTCCCAGGGGGCGGGGCGCGGCCCGGGTCTGGGCTTGAGGGCGGCTCTCGGCTGGAGGCCTGCTGGGAGCGAGGGGCTGCGGCGCCCTGGCCGCCGCCCTCTGGGCCCCGCCTCGGTCACCCGCTCCTCCCCAGTCAGTGTCCTGGGCTGCCACGGCGGGACGGCGGCGTCACAGGAAACTTTGGGAGGCTCTCCCGGCCGCGGCCACTTCCCCGGCCGGGGATGATAAGCGGGGACCGCTGGGAAGGGACGACCCCGCGGGCGGGAGAGGAATTCAGAGGGCGGGGCGGAGGCGTGAGGGAAATGCTGAGTGCGCCCCGGGGCTCCGGATGGGGCCTGCGCGGGACCCCCGCCCCTTTGCCTCAGGCACTGGGCGCTCTCAGCCCTTACTGCTTGTAGGTTCCCTCGTTTCACTTGCGGCCGTTGTGACTTTGATTCCTATAAAATGATTTTTAGTTTCTCCAATGAATTCTCAATCATTCTTGTGTCCCCAGTGCCTGAGACTAAGAAAGGAAGTCTCAGTACTCAATACGCGCGGTACTGCAATTGTAGTGGGTGTTTTAGTAAAGTGTACTTTAGGTCCAGGATCGGTCCCCTGTAAGAAGTCCGTCCTTAGGCAGTATGGTGGCTCGCCCCTGCGATCCCTGCACTCTGCGAAGCCGAAGCAGGAGGACTGCAAATTCGAGGCCAGCATGACCAATTTAGGGAGGGGAAAGGGAGGTGCTGGTGACGTAGCTCAGTATTCCCTTGGTTCAATTCCAGTACCAACAGAAAAAAAAAAAAGAGCCCTTACCTCTTCTAGAGTCTAGAATGCGTAAAGAACACAAACCGATTTGCTCTTCCACTGAAGGCTGTTCTGGAGCGTCCTTCACCAAAAGAATTTTGGTGGGAAATGAGTAATGTGCACTAAAATTACTAGGTGATCTGTAGTGTGTGAGTTACTCGACACTGAGGGCTGACCCTCCCAGGTTCCTGTAACAGGCTTTTTAAGGCATCGTACATGGATTGAACTAAATTATTTGCCTGGAGCAAATCTAATGTCAACTCCATGTCCACACTCCCCCTCGGAAACATTTGAGTTATGTGGGAGCCAAACGTGATTTTTTTAAAAAACAGACTTATTTATTTGACCATAGTGGACATAGAAAACCATAAATTTTAAATTGGACTTTTGTGTTGTATTTTGAAAGCCCAAGAAACCAAAATATACTGTAAAGACAAAAGTGTTAAAAAATGAGACTTAATTCTCCCTTTTGAAAATGACTAAAAAACTTCCCTCCTTTTCTTTTTCTCAGAACATTTGCCTCTAACAAGTAGTTATTCAATACTTCCTAGCTCTTTGAAATGTATATAAACCCTTTTGAAGACTAGATAGATCTTTTTGTCAGATTTATGATCCAGGAATGTCTTCATCAAAACCTGCAGAACCACTTTTTTCTTAATACCACCCGTCTCCCCCGTTTCTGTAAAGAGTAGGAGTGCAGCTTCAGAGTATGCCTTGCTCCAAGTAGCAAAACTACCTACTGTTATCCAGACAAAAGAAGTTTGTTTTTCCTCTGGATAAAGCTGATCAGCTAACTCAGAAGGTCAGTGTCCCCAGCTCTCCTGTGTCAAGTTCTCTTGAGGACTATTTATCTTGAAAATACTTATGTAATGGGCTGTTTCTGCTCTGCTATATAAAATGATGAAATTCTTTCTGCCTTTGCAGTCTCATAGCGAGTTGCCTGTGATATTTACCATTCTGGTTTCATGCTTATTAAATGATAAAAGTTTTCTCTCTACCACCTTTGTGGAGATTTTTTGGATGGAAGATTATGTTATATTGATTATATTAACCCAACAATGCTTATGCCCACAATAGTGAGACAATGGGGTTAAGGAAGATAATTTCTTTCTTAGCTTTTAATGTGTTCTCTAGACATTAGTTTGTTCTCTCACATTAGTTGATGCCTTATTACTGAACTACAAATAAATATTAATAGAATCAGGAATGATAAAGTTAAATATGTATTTTCATGTACAGACTAAGTCTCTGTGAGAATAAGCCTTAAAGTATGTTAATTTTCTGTGGGCATTAAATGTTGTCACGTCAATATGAAGGATATCAGGGAAAGTTTGTGCATTAAATAGTTTCGGAAAGCAAAATGCAGCTTTGGACATTGTTTCACCAAGGCGTTACTTTCCCAAGAACCTTAGGATTTCCTGACATTTATAAAAAGAGAATCTAAATATCTGATTGGTGAATTAGTTGTTACATATTTGCAGAAAATAGCTTTAAATAAAGATATGGTGAAAATGGAAATGTTTTAGCTGGAACTGGTGGCATATGCCTGTGATCCCAGCACTCAGGAGACTGAGGCAGGAGGATCACTTCAAATTTGAGGCTCGCCTGGGCTACATAGTGAGCTCAAGGCCAGCTGGAACTACATAGCAAGACCCTGTCTCAAAAAAATAAATAAATAAAAAGAAAGAAAAAAAGGAAAAATAGTGTTTGGTGTACTCTGTGAGTGCATGCACATGCTCATGGATAAGGAATCCACTATCTGAAAACAGAATCTATTTTATCAACAGTTACTCACTCAGTTCTTACCTCAGGATACTTAAATTGTCTACCATGTGCCAGGCATCATTCTGGGAAATCCAATTTTGAATGCAGGTACTTGAAGTAAATGAATGTGGCAAAAAATTTATGCACTGTTTTGGGTTTCTGTTTTTGTTTTGTTTTTTTGAGACAAAGTCTCACTATGTAGTTCAGTCTGGCCTTTCCTGCCCCATCCTCCTGAGTGCTGGGATTATAGGTATGTGCCACCACACCCAGCTCTATCCTCCACTTTTGAAATTGGGTAAAAATTATTGCACACCTACTTTGAAATTTTTTCCCTGTTATAATTATCACTTTGCACTGCAACACATTTAACAAATACCTTTTTCAGCTGCTTCTAAAAATACTGTACAACTTTCCTTATGTCTTATAAATGTAGGGAGATTATAGAAGAAGGAAGGAAAATAATTTTTTGTCTAGATGATCCATGGGCCTCATTAAATTCTAACCATTCCCACAAAACCTGGAGGAATATGTATCTCAACTGAAGGTGTTAACATACAATTTAATATCTTCTTTCATTCAAATTTAGATCTATACCAAGTACTACCATGACTTGAAATGCCACAGTACTATCTGGCTGTATGCAAATAAGTTCTTAGTCTATATTCCATTTCCCCAGATGCTAACATTTGTCTGTTTTTGTAACATTACTTACCTGAACAAATCAATACAATAATGTGGATATAAAACCTAAGTGATTGGTGAAAAAAAAATTTTTTTTAATTCTTTTTTTTTTGGTTAGTGCTACCCATCCCTCCTCCCATCTCTCACCCTCCTTTATCTTCCTCTTTAAAAGTTTTTCATTGGCCTCCAAAGCAATCTTGGATGTATGACATCTGAGTTCAGTAGTTCCTATTTGTGCCTCCCTCTTCCTTGATGTGTGCCTCTTCTCTTTTCCTCCACTCTGCCAACTTCTTTTATAACTCCCTGCTGTCTAATCTACAAGTTGTACCTAACCACTTGTACATACCACTCCTAAAATCCACCAAGGTGGTATGCAGTACCGAAAGCATATGTCTTTATTCTATACATGCTGTAGTATCTTTTTTCACCAGATCCAAATTCATTTCATTTTGAAAACTTCTCTTGAGTGAATATTATTACTAGAGATCATATTTGTGTGGTTTTCTTTTAAACATTTTTCTTTCTAAATTTTAAAATGGCTATATGGCTTCTCTTAAGACTATAAGAAAAATAAGGAGAGAGGAGGGAAAAAAGGTGAAGTAAAGCTGGAAGAAGAAAACTTCTATTTGCCTACCAACTAGGTGTTGGATCCATTAATACCATCTCATAACCACTCCTCCCTTACTTTCCTGGCCTTCTCTGCACTGATTTTTCCACCAGCATTCTACATCAGGTCATTTCCTCTCAAAATGTGTCTGAATTCCACAAGACCTAGCTCTTTCTCAGCCATCTTTTTCTCAGAATTTGCCTGCCATTTTCCTCATTCTCTTATTCTTGGTTCATGTGCCTTCAAAGACAGTGGTCAGTGGGCCTGAGAGTACTGGAGTAATAATTTCTGTAGGCAGTGTCCTCAGAGTCAAGAGAAGACCTTTTCAAAAATTAGGACTCCCATATTCCCCCTTAAAGACTCTGACTTGCAAGGTCTGGGTACAGTGTAGACAATCCGTGTGTTTGGAATGAGACCTGTGAATTTGGTCAACATTGTATACAGTATTGAACTCAGACACTCATCTCTGCTCTCTCCCCATGTGACAACCTAAACACAGATTCAAATGTACCAGAAATCTAAAGCCCAAGGATCCCTGAGGTCATGAGAGAGAAGAATGGCTGGAAACAACATATTATAATTAGTTGAAAGTCTACATACAGGTAGGAGGAGTAGGTATTCCAGATTCCCAGATTACTTCTTCCACCAAGTTGCTGGGTAAATTTACCCCAATCCAGAAACAGTAAGATTTAGTCCCTGGTAAGATTGAACTAGAGAACCTCTGTTCTGCCTGACAAAAGAACAACTAAATATTGAATGAGGTGCCTTACTATACATTGAGGTAAAGGGAATAAGTGAAATTTTACATACTGAAGTATGGAGATTTTTCCCTCTCAGCTCCTGTAAATGAGTCATCCACATTTATATCCCTCAAACAGAATATGGAGGATTTCTTTCTAGGGAAATTGACTTGTTCAAGAAAAAGTATTTTTATGAGTACTAAGAAGATCTTCCAAAACAGACAGATCCCCTGCTAATTACATGAAAATGATGTCTAGCAATTCACAAGTTCCAGC